CATTAGTGATACCGTCCGATACCATTGTCCTGATATACGTGGAGTAATTTGTCGTTACCGACGCCACTGATTGCACCGTACATACATTATTCATGTACGTACACGATCGACCAGAATCGCATCGTCCTCTGAATTCTGAATACTCATTGTTCACAAATATACATACAATAACGCAATCCTCTGGATCTGTTGTGTACTTCATTAAAAACTTGCCAAACAATATTTTTTGCTGTTTGTGATGGATGATGGGATCGTCTCGTAACAATAATGTGCGACCTGGACCTGTATTTCACGTCGACTTGAATCCATGTCGTGTCTATAAGACCGTTTAGACAAATATCAATGATGTGATCAGTCAGGTAAAGAGCCTATGTAATACTGTGTATTCCAAAACAAGCATTGTTTCTTTTGGCGTTTCAATAAGCTTTTACTCAAATTGTGTTACAAAGGTCCTTTTAGCACCCTGGTGCGTGTCAGGTAGATGTTTTCTTTACAATGACCTCAGTGCAAATTTCACCGGGTTTGACTACATAATTAATACAACCGACCTCTGTGTGGGCTCATGTATCACGTAGGTTTTATCAAAGTGTGTTTTTGTTGCAAAAGCTTTTACGTATCACGATGTGTGAAGACCACGTGTTAACCTAACGATGTGGCATCGCGGTTACCAGCTTTGAATTTCCCTTCTAGTGATTAAAATTGTCCTTATTCGGTGTCCTTTATGGTAAATAACTGCCTACAATCATTAATAGGTTTACAACAATATGGTGGCGCCGGCCTTCTCTTTATGTCATTATTCATATTGAATTAGAACCAATGCTTACTTCTCTACAGGCATTACTTACTTGGGGCGCCCCCCCTCGTGAACTCGTTTTAGTCTTATATTTACCCTTGCGAATGTTATTAGAGGATCGTTCCTTGGTAATATTATTCCATAATGTTTTTAGAACTAATATTTTCAGAGAGATTAAGGTATGTTTTATATTAAATACCAATGCTCGGCTTATTAATTTTAAGCCGTCTTTGAAACGTGATCCTTTGAAATAATATTTTGTATTTTTTTAATCTGATCTCTCCGATTCATAAATGATACTTAAAAAGCTTTCTGTCCTTGTAAGGTAAAGACACGTGGACCACACTGGAATCACGGTCTATAATCGAAACAATATACATACAGATGGCCTAATAACATTTATCGTAATGTATGTATATTCATAGAATATTAAGTATTGTTATCTTCACGATGCAGTGCATACGGCCGGCTGTTGATAAATGCCGGTGACTGCGCATGTTGCGCAGTTACACCGCACTGCGTGCGCACTATGGCTTGATACTCCTTTGATTGTTTGCTACCTACACCATATCGAGAGCCATTTTGCGGACCCGACGACCAAGTACGGAACCCAGACGTATACTTTATTATATAACAATTTCATTTGGTAAGTTCATTGACATTCTTCTTCATTCAATATTAAAATACTTGTCAAATCCAATAATTCAATCCTTTGATGACCTCCTTTTCATTCATAGCCCTTATCTGAAAATTACTTCCAGCTGAGGAGTGATAATATCCTCATTCCTCTTTTATAATAAATACGCGTTTAACGTCTGTTTGAATATTCTAAAATTCAAAAACATGAAGTCTCTAGAACAATTTGTCATCGTTGTCAGGAATATTTGTCGGGTGTGTTACATTTCAAATTGCGGAACTGTGTATACGTTAATTAAACTTTCAGAGACTAGAGGTAATACAAAAAGAAATACCAAAGAAAGTAATTATGCGATGTGCTGGTTAGCTTAAATATGGCGGTACTTATAATGAACGGGGAAGCGCGTTTCCATTACAATAGATACCTACCTGCATGTTACCTGTTTGCGAGTTTGTAACATAAAAATGTAGCCCCTTATCCATTCATGCGTATCCTTGAGCAGAGTGCAGTGTGCATACAATTTAAATCATGTACCTATGAGTTACTTGCGTCAGAGGTGTTTATCCGGCGAGGTCGTTTTCTTATGCGTTTGATGTGCGTGAACTGCGTGTGGAAGGGATCGCGATCCGTCAACACGTGGGAGGTCGATCTTTATGCTATTAGATAATACAGGTACTCTAAAGGATGTTAGAATACTTTAACATTTTACGTATTACAAGTTAATAATCCTTCACATATTTTTGTTTTAGGATGGGTAACTCATGACCTTGTAACCGGTTATTCAAATTTCGAATTGCTAATGACGTCAAGGCGTAGGGAAGTTTTTGATGTATTCAGGTTTTCAAGGCAATGCCATGGCGCCGTCAAATTTTATTTTATTAATATTTACGGATCCAAAAATTTAACATTTTCCTCTAAGGAGGTAATAGACTTTTAAAGGAATTATGATGTCCAAGGCTCCAAGGCAAGGTATTATGAAAATCATTCAATGTCTTCTCGAGCGAGAGGAAGGGCCAGTCTTACTGACTCATCATCATCATCATCAGCCTATAAGTGCCCACTGCTGAGCAAAGGCCTCTTCTCATACGGAGAAGGTTTGAGCATTAATCACCACGCTTGCTCAATGCGGGTTGGCGATTTCAAACTTACAATTAGAAATTATAAGTCCAGGTTTCCTCACGATGTTTACCTTCACCGTATGTCAGTGGTGTCTAAATAATCATAGAAAGTACATATAACTTGGAAAAAGTCACATTGGTACTTGCCAGGTTTCGAACCCACACCCTCATGCATGAGAAGCGGGCTCCTTAACCTCCGGGCCACCACGACATTTTTATTAACCTCCGGGCCACCACGACATTTTTTTATTGTTGTCTTACTGACTAATATCCCGTTTTTCCTTTAGCTCCGGGCCGCGACCATGTACATTACTGCGTTTGTGCCGGCAACCCTGGCAGTAACATCGGTCCTAGTGGATCCCATCTGCGGTAGGCTAATAGCTCTTTGACACCTAGCAGTATGCCTTCCCGCAGTACGTAACAGTCTGGTTCTAGATAGAACCACGCTTACGGTAGCCGGAGATCGTCCCGCGATCCCAAACGCCCGGAGTGTTTCCTGCGGCGACTGAGGAGTGAGGAAGATGTTTTGACTTGTTTCGCCTCATTCTTTGCGAGCATGAATGCTGCTCAAAAGGAGACGACTTCCCAGTTCCTAAGCTGTACGGATATCGTTTGTTGATCGGATCCATTTTGCAATGAAATGAGGGTTGAACTAAAGTAAGACTTTAGAACCGAATATTAATAAGTGTGTTATTACGAGTAAAAATTGACATTTAGTTATTACACTTGTGAAAACACTTTCATACCGAAATGTTCATTTTATGAAGTACCTAAGTCATATTTGTATTTACACGATATGAAAAAGGCAATAAAAATGAACACGAATATTTCTTCATAAAACCGCTCTTGCAGTAATGAATGTGTTTCTCAAATAAATGTATGTACCTGTATACGAAAGTTATTACGTTTCGCACGTTATTCATAATAATATTATTTATGCTGTGCCCAAAACGTACCGACCGACATGGCAACGGTTAGTAGGCATTCCTTATCAGAAAGGAGGCCGGTTATTGGTTTTCCCAGTAAAAGCTCATCCCGTACTGACTACTGATAAAGGAAATCTAATAATAAAAAGTTATATGAGTTACGTATGTTATAACACAGAACGTTCCACCAAAGAGATCGTTCGTTAGCCTCTTAGATAAGTAGTCCGATCCGGGCCCGCTCACATACCTGTGAAGTTTTAATTAAACCCGCTGGTTGATAACTCCGAAATTAATTACTTCTGAAAAGATAAAGGCCGCCCAAATATTGCTGAAGTGTAAGTCGGTTGGCTAACTTTTTTCTACTAATTAACATGGACCACTTAATGAAATAATGAAATTTTGAAAGCATGTTTTGTTATCGTATGATGCCATTTTTTCCAGTGGTAGACATGTTTTTGAACTGTACTTAATTGCGCTTTTCATCGTTATAAACGTTTTATCTTTTCAGTTTACCGGTTATTTATTTTTACGTTGTTTCCTATGTCTGAAGAAAATTTCAATTACAGATTTTATTTTCTTGCTGTAAATCTGAAAAGGCGAAGAAAACAAGGTTATTTTGATTCGATGGTGAGAAATAAGCCTAACTTTTCCAGGAGATGTGTTCGTTCTTAACTTGACTCGTGACATTTATAACTCCCACTTACGAAACTTCATATAAACCTGTCACCAGCTTAATTAAACCTGTCAGAGTAATTATAATAACTTAGTGATTGAAATAAAAAAAAACTTTATACAAATTGATTTTATTTAGGTATCTGTCTAAAAAAATATACGTATTGAGACATTAGCCCATGTTTCTCTACCATTACCATGCATTGTTCCAGTGACGTAAATCTAGAAAAGTAACTATCCCCTGTTCCAATGAATTTAAATGAAAAGTCTGTTTTATTGACTTCTTCGATGCACTATGTACTAAGTATGCAAAGTCCGTCATAGGGATATGCATGTCATAGTGTGCAGGTGCATCTAAATGTAATAGATGTGCAATAGATGCATAAGACGTCATCACGTCAAATACATAATTAATATCCACTTATTCATATTTAATTGGTGTTTTGCACGTCACAGGTGTCCTCTACCACACACATCGTATAATATAGGTAGTATTAGGTAGGTATACTTATACCTAGCTATGACTTCGTCTTGTCAAGTTTAAGTCAGTTTTTAAGGAAAAGATTTCCGCCCTATCTGTTCTGTTTGTGACGTAATTGATGAATCTATTTTTGTCGTGGTCCCGAGATCTTAATTAGGACAATTATTGAGATAAGTACTGAGTAATTTTGGCGTTAGTAAAATGGTCGTAACAGAAGATGATCAACTCTCTCCTACGTGTTCGTGCTCTGCGAAAATAACTCACTTTGTGATGAAAAGATAACTCGTTAGCAAGGTTGATAGCATGGCTGACTGCCCAAGGTGCGTCTGACGTAGGTAGGCGTTTTCAAAAGGAATTTATCACTAAGGTACAGTGTATTGTTTACAGGTTGATGCACGAGCACCATACGAGTCTGTACTACGTCGCGCGAGTACCGCGCCGCCTTGCCGCACCTTAATACGTAAGTTTTCAATAGAATAGAGATTATTTTTCTTAGTTATACATACGACCTTATAACTATTTTGTTTGTCATATTGCAAAAAACTTCTTTCTAAACAGATCATCATTATTATTAGCCGCAAAGCCTAAGGCTTCTTACACGGAGAGAGACAATCTAAACAGAAAAAATTGTTCCGCCTCTATGCTTTTCACAAGTTTTTATGCAGTAGGTATACGGGCTCAAGGATGGAATTCTGAATATATGAATAACGTTATTCATAGACTTCATACTGTTCTATGTAAACTACTTATATTCTATGGTTACGATGTTTACATTGGAGTCGCAGCACATAATCACTTGATGTAATGGCCGTATTCATGTGTAATGTTTACACAGCGTGCAAATGTGATCCATGCCATGTGCATCGTACATCATGCTACCTTACTGCACATTGTACTACTAGAACTAAGATCATAATGTGTCTCGTACAAATGACAGGACGCTAAAGTTTTTTTGGAGTGGAATATAGCTTCGTGTTTAGTCTCCAATTTAGAATGTATTTCACTTTTCCACCGCCCCTACCCAACTTCCTCGAGGAAGTTATTGTAGAAAATGTCCCAACAATAAACACCGCAATAACTTTTTTCCCTGTGGCGTTGTCATAGTACAGGTGCTTACGGAAGTTAAAATGCGAAAGCGACACAACAAAATCCTAATGCGTAGTTACATTTCAAAAATGAACGTGCATTGTGGTTTTGTTTGGCTTTAGGAAAAGCGTCTTTAAAATTAAAAAGTTACTATTGGTACATTAGCTGTTCAAATTTTATAATTTGAAATCTAAACCATTTTTTGATGATAGATATTCTGATCATTGAGGTATAGGACAGGTTATATAGACATTCATATTTTAATACTTAAAACAAATCTTACTTATAACCCTATACTTATATTTTTTTAGACAAAGCCTTGGTTACAAACATTATCCCTGAAATCAATACTTCTTATTCATCAAGGTGAAACTTTTATGATTACTTTGCGTTTATTCCTTAAATTTGTTTTTCTGTCGGTCGGAGCTGAGAGAGTTTCTACGCGGATTATTTACAGGGATGATGTATTAAATATTTTATTTTTTGCAACTTTCCCTATCCGTATAATAACAACTGACGCTGATAGTACGTCAGCGATGAATTACCTTAGGATTTTTTATGACGTTTAGAGTTTTGAATTATATTTTATTTTCTGGTGTTTTATATAACAAAGAATTAATATTCCAACAGTTAATTTTAAAAACAATACTAAAATATCGTAAGAAAGTTCTAGAAGTCTCGTTCGTATTTGACATGTTACTCAAAGCGTTTCTAATCGGAATTCGTTTAGGTGTGTGTTTCAAATAGAACATAACGTACTGTGATAAAATATTTTGCTTTGTGAGCTGAAGTTGTAACACTTTCTATCCACACCAAGTTGTATATACTGGAAACAACTTGGATCGTTTGTCGAGGTATAAATAATCCGCCCGTCATAATATTATGCGTGTTATAATAGTCCACGATGTTTTGACCGTCGCGCGGTGACAAGCTTAAACATGCTCAACTTATTAACATTTGTTATTCTTAGTTTGACGCTGACATTTCATCCAGCTTAAACAACTCACATTGTCACGTCTCAAATTGATTTAAACGGCTTCAAACTTTTTGATATTTAAACCTGGTCCCGTTTAGGCTTTAGCCCTTATATTTCCCACTACCTGGAGCTCTCTAAATATTTTTGCCCGACTGCGCACCGTGATAGGATGAACAGATATTATTGCCTAAATCTAGGCACGTTGCCAACAGTGTAAATTGTTTTATTGAAAGACGGACCGAGTTGATTTACCGCACATAACTGATTTACCATCAGTACATGGATTTTAATGCGTTGTACATGATAAACTACAGTTTTTAATGTACGGCCACGTTGTTCTATCTATCGCGTATGCTTCATAGGAATCAATTTACGAGTCTGTGTCAGATCGTGTAAACACAGCTAACTGTTAATAACATTTAATTGTTATTAATGTTCCTGACGTTAGACAGGTTTACAAACATCCTTTTTATTATTAAAGTTGGTGCTGAAGGAGGTAACGCGTATGTTTTATGATGGATTGGTTATTTTTTAAAGTATGTATTTATATTCTAAAGTTAGGACGTATTTAAGATTTGGTAGTAAAGGGTTTGACTCTGATACTCGATTCGAGCAGACAAAATGTTAATATATATTTTTGTCTATGTTGCTCTTTATTTTCTTGTATTAGGGCCTTGTATATAAGCCCTAGCTTCTACTAGCTAAGACAGAGACTAGTCTTAAGAAAGCATTTTTTACGTGTTCTAATTGCAAGTTCTGTAGGTAATTCTTAAATAGCCCGTATAATCAACTTTAGATTAAAAGCTACAGAAATTCAGAGCATCTTCTTAGCTATTATTTTTATTGAAAGTGAATAATTTAGTGGCACTGTGGTACATGTATCGGGTATGAAAGGTCCATAAATTTTTCCATTACCGTATGGGATATGATGTAGATTTTTATTACCATTGGTTGTGTAATGGAAAAGCTTTCAGTTTGGCGCACACGATCATCCTAAGGGTTCAAGCGATCGGACGTGGATTGACGGGCGACATCAACGTCAAACTTTGTCAGTCGATGCATCAAAAATATGTATTACTAGCTACTCTCGCGCGGTTTCACCCGCTGCTCGGCCCCATTTAATCATATAGAACTCAGGAACATTGTAGCTATCTATCAGTGAAAGAATTTTGGACATCCGACCAGCGGTTCCAAAGATTACCCCTTACATACTAGCTTACAAACTTACAAATTTTACCTCTTTATAATATTAGTATAGAAAAAGGAAAACATAAGGACCTCTTTTCGTTATAATTTCTGGAAATGTTACGCTGTAATCTGGGCAAACTCTACTTCATGCCTATTTTTTTATGAAAAGCTTTGGTACAAAACAGATTGATAACGATAATGTTCCGATAATGTATACCAGATTGGATATTGATAAAACAAGCTTATTATTTTTGTACTGCCAGTAAAAACAAGATTGTCTACTGATAGGATAATGTCTTATTAATATGGCTGGCTTAGAAGATAAATACTAAATCCATTTTGGTTATTTGTTACTGAAACCTGTAACAAATGAAATGTCAATACAAAAAAAAATATTAGTCTATCACAAAATCAACTTTATTACATTGATCAATGTCAGAAAACTACAAATTTACGACTATCGATACTAAGACTATAACGAGGTAAAATTTGTAAGTTTGTAAGTTTGTATGTAGGGGGTAATCTTTGGAACCGCTGGTCGGATTTACAAAATTCTTTCACTTATAGATAGCTACAATGTTCCTGAGTGCTATAGGCTATAAAACATCACGCTACGATAAAATGGAGCCGAGCAGCGGGTGAAACAGCGCGAGAGTAGCTAGTCACTCATAAAAAAAAGATGGTGGTTGGTTTCTCTGATCACATAAGCCACCGATCGTGAACTCGTCAGTCACCTGACCGACAATCCTCCATTGAGGTCAGCCTACAATAAAAACTCTTCATTAAAATTACCTTAAATATGTACATATTGAATAATCTGTATCGAATCCGATCGACAGTTATCACAGTTTAATTGAATTTATCTGTCCGAATCAATTAATTAGTTCAGAGGTCGGCAACCACAGAGTTTTCAGTTGGAACAACGCAATTATCGATATTAAAATCTACTCAGGCTTTTGATTATTGGATATTGATCTATATTAAACTTCGGTATCTGATTTTGTATTTATATCGGAACTAGCTTCTACCGATGGTTTCCGTCCGCGACTATAAAAGTATCATATGTGTTATTCCAGTCTATATCTTTTTTCTTTTTTTAAAAACGTAGCCCCACACTAGGATTTGCTCCTGTGTCCTAAGTGCGTTAAAAAACATACAATGTTACACACACATCATACAGGTCAGGAACAGCAATTTGTGGATCACACAGAGTTGTACCATGCGGGATCGAACCCACGACACGAGGCACGACGGCCGGACGTCTAGCTACCGCGTTAACTGTACAGTCACTTTTGCGTTTCCTAATTCCTATTATTTTCCGTTTCGCTAACAATTGCTTCGGCATTATACTTATTCATACTGTACTATAGTTTGCCAGATAAAACAACATACGTTTCTGTGTTTATCGGACAAATTCCTGTATGTGTGCTGCATTATCGTAATGTGTGGGCGTCCCACATTTCATCATTATCTCCCGTACCAATTAATTTGGAATGTAGGTGTAAAATTATTGACTTGTGTTTAGTGTTATCTGGCTGGTTTTGAAGAGGCCCCTGAGTTAGTTTCCATGTTGCTTTGCAATATTAATCTCAGTATAAATATGCTTTTATTTAGTATCTGTTTTTTTATTGTTCAATTCCAATATAGTGTAGGATTGTCAGTGAAAAAGTTGAATCGCTTTGTGAAGCGGTCACTATGTGTTTATTTCGTTATTAGAAGTAAACATTTCGTATAGACTGCGTATAACAAAAACCCAAAACCTCAAAAATATTGATAGATTTATAAAACTGGCTGTAACTTGTTAATCGTGTACTTACTAAACATAAAAACAAATACTTGAACATTTAAATCTCCAAGTGAAAATCTAAGTATAAGGCCTCGTTTTGCGCGACGGATAGCGTTTCCCGTACATTGCTGTTTTAGACCGCGACATCGACAGCATAAACACAAATACACGAAAATTACGCGCAATGTATGACAGATAGCACCCGACACGACGCGTTCATCATATGTAAAACTAACAAAGCTAACTCCTAAAATAAATATTTATGTATCTATATATTTTAGTTTTATAAGTAAATAAAAGTGTAGCATAATCGTGTTTCGAACGTCATACCACATGAACGTACCTATGTTTCTCTATTTGTTTTCCTATTTACTGTATATGTGATGTGTATGAATAATAAATAAATAAATAAATGATCGCTACA